TTCAAGGTGAAAATGGCTACCAAATGCTATTATTGTGTGAAAATTCTCAATTTTATTTTTTACATTTTTAACATTATAATGCTATAACTTATTGAAAAGTGTATTGATCAATATAATTTTTTTATGGGAAATACTATTTTTTAATAATCCCTTTTTCATTCGACATACTTTATCTTAATCAGGATATTAATAAGGAACTAGCAGTTTATGAAGCTTTTGGAATAATCCACCAATTTTTTAAAATTAAACACTATCTAAAGATTTGCATCGAAGCGTTTTTTTTTGATAGTGATTTTAATCACTGTCAGATATCATTATACTTGATCCAACTATGCCACGTCACCACTGTGCCGCGACCCCCCTGTGCTGGGTTTTTTATATTATTTATTTATCTTATAATGAAAAAAGGATAATTTTTGTTGGTTTTATGAAAGAACTTATTATTATTTATTTGTTAGAAGAATAATATTAATTAATATATGGATGGATCATTTAAAAAAATTTGTTTTTTAATTATTATTGATTTTTTAGACTACGTTTCATTCATAATTTTTATTATATATCACTAATAAAAAAATTAATTTTTAATTATTTTTTTTTCAAAAATATAAAATAGCAATTTTTTTAGTTATTTTCTCAATAAGTACTTGCTTTAAATTTTTTATCAACTCATCAAAATTTTTCGTAAGAAAAATAATTTCTATTTTGATATTTTGAAAAAAAAAATTATTATCATTATTATATTTTTATTAGTGTTAACTAATAAAAAATATGCATTAAACGTAGTATAGCAATAATTATTAAAAAAAAAAATTCAACGAAACGATAATTGCATAAAAAGTTATAAACGTAAACAATTAGGTCCATCGAGACACTCTTGTTACATCAAAAACATCAACACGTCGACTTTCCCTAAACAAACTTTATACCACCCCATCCTTGTACACCTGCCCGTTCAAACTACAAAGAAGACATATTTCTTTGTATTTAAAAAAAAATTTCGGTTGTGGACTACTGAATTCCGTAAAACGATCGTGTGCATTTCATTAGAACATAATAAGGACAAATAGTCGAAGAAATTGTGTATGGAAATCCATTAACTTGCCACGTGCGAATGGTTTTTTAAACGGATCAATGTTACATAATGTTAAGTTATACATACATTCAGTTACATTAGATATGTGTACTGAATACGCGGTATATACCAATTGCTTTTTAAATAATAACATTTCAAATACGGTAAATGTTTATACAATATTAAGCATTTGAATATCATATCACATTATGATAAAGTTAGTAAAATATGAAGCGAAAAAAGTTGTAACGCACAAATGATACAACGGTAATTGTTAAATTAGCCAATTAATTCAGTGTTTCAGTCAATCCTACAATTCAATTCTCATTGCATATTTCATAAAGAAAATGTTAATAATTCATATAAGTCATATCAATTTAATTATACTACATTTTAAGAGCACTAATTAAAACTAATAAATATAACCATTATCATGTTTTTAATGATCAAAGGAAACAAAATACAAATAAAATTTCGAATTCCAACATTCACTTCTTAAATGCATGGTAATATTATTTTCAATTCTCGGAAGTATTCGAATAATTTTGAGGTACTGATAAATACTATTTTATGGGACCATTAAAATAAACGCATCTAATAGCCAGTTTAAATTAAATTTTAATTATAGGAAGTTGAAGCACAATTTATCGCCGCACGGTAGCGCATAGTAAACTTAAGAGAGCTCATAGTAAAGGTAATGTACATCGGTGAACCAAGTGTAGGTCACAGCTATTCCTTAAGCTATTTCCTGGGGTTGACATTACGTTCGTTAGGTAACCGCCTAGACTACAATGGTTAACAGTAGATATTATACACCAGCAAAACGTTTTGGCTTTAAAGCCGTTTCATACAAGAAGTACTTTTCTCAAGTAGAGTTTTATCTGGAATTGTGCCTAAAATCAGTTATCAGAATGCTCGAGTACAAAGATATAAATATCCTTTGAAATAATTCTAAGACATATAGTGATAAGATTTAATCAAATATTAAATTCATTTTATATTGCCTTTTAATAAATCTAAATACTCCAGTTAGTTTGACCTATCCGAATTAATATCATAATTAAAAGAGTATTTATCTACTAACTGTTAACTTTGACTTAGATATTTAAACTTTTCTATCTACTCTCAAAACTTTTATATTATATTTTCCATACTGTGATGGGTAATTTGAAGGTTTTTAAATTAAAACTATACATACTATATAAATAATTAAACCTTAAAATATAGAATAAAACTAATAAACTTAAAATTTTTATGGTATTCATTATTTGTCTATTAATGAATTTAACAGCATATATTTTTAAGTATCAGAATACATAGTAAACACAGATATTGAAGGAGTCTAGTCTTAATATAATTCAAATCTTTTGAGAAGAAAGTGATATTAAATAAATATAAACCGTAATTAATGTTTTGTATTAACTAGAAACTTTTACAATTTCGATAAATTCGTCTGTATTATATTATCAATATTTGCGAATTTACTTAATGGATCATAGAAATTTGATATATAAATATATAAATTGAAATGTAATAAAAATGTTGAAAAAAATCATCTTTTAAGATGAATCGAGTTCTAAAAAATTGTTATTTTTAAGTCATTTAATATTTTAAATGATTATTTATTCAATGAATAAAATCAGATGATTTCTTGGGAAATATTTAAAATTTAATAGATTTTTCGTGAATAATTTGTTAAAATGTTATGGTCATAGTTATAATAAGAATATCTCTTTGTATATCATCATAATAATCAATGAAATGTATCTAAGTCTTAGATTAAAATCAAAGTAATAGCTTTTAATTTAAATTGTATTGAAAATTTGTATTAAATTAAATTTCTCTCTTGAAATAAAAGAAGTTTTTTAAACAATAATATTTGTACACTATTTTTTAGTTTATATATTTCAGAAATGTTGTATTTTTTACTCGAGGAGAATTAATTAAAATATAGCCCTAATAATATAATAAATATTATATGTAAATAATACTTTATCTTGTTTATGTCAACATTTAATTACTTTTATTTTCGCGCTTTTGATCATGATCTACTAAAACCATTTAATATATATTGGCAATCATCGTGCAATGTTCTTATATTTTGGTGACCTAATTCACTTTGCACTTAAGATTTAAGGTTACCTAATGCAGCATTGCGGTATTTTGACATATATAATGCGTCTGATTATATTTAAAAGACGTTATAATCCGTTGCATAAATAACCGTTGATAGTTTAATCTATTTTTACTAACTTTCAGAGTATTTCATTATTATAGTTCAAGTTAAAAAATTAATTTTAGTGGCATGTTTTAAAATGTTTTTTAATAATTTTAGAGTGGATTATAAAATTTAAATAAAACTAGTAGCATCTTCGTACCACAGTATGTATAATTATTTTTGCTTTGAAAACGGTATCCTTGGTAACAATGGCTCGTTACTGAAGATTGATACAAGTATGAATGTTATTTTATACAATTCATTGGCGCCGTGAGGTATAATTTGGATCCTTTAACCAAAGGTGGGTTTGCAAACTAAATTGCTAAAGGGCATATAATAAACTCACGTCCGAAAATATTTTTTTTGCACATTTTTTTTTGTGTATATATAACAAATCCATATGATACTCGTAGAGTAAAATAAATTTTAGTTAATCCTATTGAATTGATAGAAATAATGGTTAAATAGATATTATTTTTGTTCATAATAAAATAAACTAATTATTAGATATTCTTATTGGAGGTTTATTAACAATGTAGAGAGTTTTGGATTCAAATTTAACTAGAACCTAAAAAGTACATATTCTGAGTCGATTTAGAGGAAATAAGAAAAATATATCTTAAGTGAAATTATACTAATATAAAATCCTTTTAATGTTATTTATTGATATAATTACTGATTGCATAGAATACAAATACACTCAATGAGCATTATACCCAACTAAAATTTTTGTATCTTATCGGGTCTATTTTTTTTTAATAGCACACTAAATTAGAAACATTCCATATTTTTTAATAATTCAATTTTATACATGAAAAAAAGATAGTTAAAAAAAAGATATTTGTCATTTTAAACAAATATCTAATAAAGGATACTGCAAAAAAAGAAATGAGTAACATACAAAAAAAAAAGACCCAAGTTAAACATTAATTTTGTACCCCCTTAACGGGAGGTCTATGCTGTTAATTTGTGTCGCTTTCAAAATAACCAAATTAAATCATTATACTATTGATTTTCAAAAAGAAACTGAATGCTTTAAGCAATTACGGTATCAGTATTATTAGTTATAGAAATCAAATTGTACAATCAAAGACTTCTACAGAATAAAACGAAAGACCCAAAACACGCTTTTTGTTGAGAGAACACGATTTCATAAAAAATTAATTTTTGGTTATATACATTATAATTGATATACAAATATTTTTATTAATAACGACAATAAGCATGAAAAATGCATTTTTTAGTAACGGATAATTAATCTTGGTCTAGTTGCGTTGTATTAATTTTATCAGATGAAGACTATTGAATCATTCAGAGTATAAAGGCAATAATCCCTAACATATGAAAATTAATTTCCCGGCTTAAAAACCAAAAATGAATGCGTTGTGCCAGCACGATAAATTATATGACAAAAAATATTTTTTAATAAAATGTAGATTAATGGTAGATATTTATAACTAATATAAAAAAGAAGACATTCCTTCATTATCGATAGAGCTAATTTATTAATTCAATTACTAGAAAATTATTCTATCTGTTTCGTAAAAAAAAAAAAAACATTGTATTTAATATTTAAAGAATAATGCTACAATTATTCTTATTCTTTGTCATATTTATTTTATTTTAATTAACAACAAATATTGGTTGTTGTTCATAAATAAAATATCAGTAATACATTTATGTTTTTATTATCATGAATGTACTTACTTGTGACTTGACGGCTGCCAAATGCATTTGCGCTGTTCTTAATTCGAATCTTTTTATACTTAAATCTTCCTGTAATTCATTGGCTTTACTAAACAATGACTGTTCTAGGCTTCTGTAGAAAAAAAAAACTAATATTAAAAAAAAATGCCATAAATTAAAATAAACTATTTATTATTTCAGATAGTAAATTGTCAAACTTTAAACGAAGTACAAAATTTAATTCAAAAAATAATGCTGTCATAGTACAGTATCTATTTTTAATTAACTAATTTTTTAAAAATTCATTATTAATTATTTAACATTTTTTCATATGTTATAGCCAATAAAATTTATATTTGCATAATAAATTTGTCATAAGTTATTAGTCTTTTCCTCTTAAATACGTAGAATAAGATATAATTAACTATAAGGATATATCTAAAAAGGTAATAATTGTACAGTAGTAAGTAGAATACAATAACATCGACTTAGTGCAGAAACTCATTAACGGTTATTTCTTTTTAATTTTTTATTGCTGACATTTATTTTACTAAATACAACAAGGCTAAGATATGTAATTAGCAATCAGTAAATACAACTTAATAGAACAATTAATATATCTATTTATATACATTATTTTTTTTGTAATAATTGATAAAAATACTTTCTTTTTTCTTCGTTTACTTAACTTCGATGTAATCGACATGCATTAGTTATTTAATAAAATTAAATAAACACAATTTAAAGGTTTTGAATTCATTATAAGGTTTAGAATGATTATCTATATTATTCACACTATAGCAGAGAGATAACTCTTTCCTATATGTTTTATAGATTTAAGACTAAATATCATATGATATAAAAAAAATGTACAAATATACCACATATATGACACTAAAATATATCAAATTAGGTAAACTATTTTACCTAATTTTTATACTTAAAGAAAAAATATCTAAGTATAAAAAACCATTTCAATATTTCAATGATCTTAAGAAAAAGTCATAGTTTAAAATAAGTATATCTAGAAATCTCAAGTCTTAATTTAATATAAAAAATATATATTTTACACATGCACATAGATATAAGTGCCTATTGTGGTATATTTTTCTCAATTAAAAACAAGATCATATTTTTAGTAGAAAATATTCAGAAAATATACCAAAATTAACAAAATGGCATAATTAAATACAAGTCCTTCAACTACAGAAAAAAAATTAATTAGGAAGTATTTTTACTAGTTAGCTTAACATTACCTTAAAAAATTATTTTTTTTTTTAAAGTTGATGTAATATTTTGTTGTATATTATATAGATAACATTGAGTTATTGAAATATTTAGAAAATATATATTAGTATAAATAATAGTACAATTTAAATTTTAATATTACTGATTGTAATAGTTGTTGCTAATAGAATATATGACAGAAAAAATATCTAAATTAAGTCCTACTGCAATATCACAATTATAGATGCAATATTCTTAACTATTTATTTACTGGAAAATGTCAATTTTTAACATTTAATACGGAATATTTTGTGATAATTAATTATAAATACTTTACATTAATATAACAGGGAATTTATTAGAGTGCAAATATTTTATAATGTTATGAGTGTGATATCAAAATATAAATTAAAACTTAAAAAGATAAAAAACTTTTAAATATTCATTGTTTGGTAAAGTCACCCTATATGTATATGAATTAATTAGAATGGATTGCAGTAGTCTAATAAAATAAAAGTAAAATAGTCAGACCCTAATAATTTTTTTAATAAAAATGTATATTGACTACTGTAAAAATTACTATACACCAATTAATTAGAATATTATAATAAGAAGAAATACCCTATTATAGGTATAAGAGAAAAAATTCACTAGTTACAAACTTATTTTATTTTATGCACTCCATTTGAATTCCACAATTTAATAATAAAAATAAAATTGTAAATAATTTTTACTATTTATTGTATGTTCAAAGTAACATACATGAAACAAAATAACTGTACATTATATTATATAAAAAAAAATCATATAGTATTTTTAATTATATAAGATTTTGATTTTAATTATCAGGTCATTTTCTTGTAGATGTAAATAAAAATAAGATTTTGTTTTTCTAAAAAATCAAGTATTAATTGTCTGGCTCAATATAATTTCATTACAATAATGATTTTTTATTAAATACTTGTATTTAATAATAAAAATAAAATAAAAATTTGTTTACTTGAAAGTTCAAGTTTAGGTCTTATTACTTTTATAATAGTCGGATGACATTTCAAAGGGACTAAAACAAAAGTAATATTTACAATATTTATATGGGTTTGTTTTCACAAATAAAATTTTATAAAACTTAAATGAACATATTTATTCAAATAGTGATACTTATATAAAATAAAAGTATGAAAAAAGTATATTTAATTATCAACTGGCAATTAAATGTAAAAATATATTATACAAATAAATACATAATATTTGAAAATTATTACTTATGTGTAATAAAATGTAAAATCATGTCTGATAACTTAAGTAAAAACAATTATTCAACATATAATAATACAAATATATTCTTATAATTTACATAAATTAATAAATTGATAATTATAGACGTTTACAATGAATGCAACTAACAAGTTTGATCTCTTCAGTCTTATGCTGACAGCAGTTTAAAAGATGAACTCTTCAACGAGTTCGAAACGTCAGCACAAAGCTGAAGACAAATAATACATATTCATAAAAGCTTTAAAACATTTATAACAAAATTTAAATGTAATAAATGTATTATTTTGAGTAAATTAAAATTAACACTAATATTCAAAGATTCAATATGAATTCATAGTCAGGGAACCAGGATATAACTCTTAATGGGCTTAGAAAAAAAAAATACACCCTTTTCGTAGAAAGTCAATTACATTCCTGTAAGCCGGTAATGTTTACCAATTCAAAATGTTAACATACGTAAAATACCTTAACCTATTACCTTTAAAAGTACCTCACCTAATGAATAAATAATTTGTTTAGTATTTAATATTGACTTTTATTATCATAATTCGTACCGTACAAATATTTTGTACTTGATTTTACTTAATTAACATTATAATATTTAATTAATCTATAGAATATTTTTAAATTCCTGAAAAGGTTTTTTTCAGCAATATGAATATATAAACTAATCTAAATTTTATTTTAAAAAATATATCTTTTATTCAATATTTAATTCATTACATGTTAATATTTATTAAATAATTGAAAAGTAATTCCCAAAACGAATGTATGTTGTAGAAGCTCTTAAAAGCTTGTCGTTAAATCTGTCATACTTTAAATCAAGGTTACCTAGACATTTTAACTATAATGCACTAAAAAGTAAACACCTTCCTGGGTGAGATTCACCTTCACATCATAGTGTCACATGGCTTGTCTTTATTTGTCTTAATTGCTAAATTCTAACAAGTCGTATCACACTCTAACTTAAATTCCATTAATTCTATGATTAAACATTAAATGCTTCACATCATTCACAACTTAGGTTATTAACAAGCTAAATATTTCTGAAGCTATTAAAAATAATATTCACACAATTCATAACTATTGTAGTTAACTACAAGTGAAAATTAACTTATAACAAAAGAATAAAATATTATAGCTTTTTTTTGTTAGAAGAAAGTAAATGAACACATAAAAGAAAAAGAAAATTGATAAATTGATCTTTGATACAATAAACGAAACTTTATAAAATGATGAAATCCAACCAAATCAAGTACAAGTTAAAATAGCAGAATAAACAACGTAATATTGATTCCTTGTAAAATATTCAATTTTCTTATTTATTTAGGCCATTTCAGGATTATTTCAGAAAAACACAAAAGATTTATATGGGAAAAATAATAGTATCTATATGTATGGTAATCTAGATGGCGATAAATAATAATAATTCTATAGTAATCTACGACGTTTTGTTTATAATAAAACATTTCACTGGTACGTTTTAGTGACACGAATATTCGCTTTGTATTCACAGGATAAACTACGAACGAGGAAAATATAGTAGGCTTTAAAATATTTACTCTTCTCTAGGTACAACATAGAGAACAATTTTTATTCTACAAAGAAATTATACCATATATTATACTCATACAAAACCTATATGAGATATTAACAGGTGAAATTTAAAAAATGCATTCCTTCACGATCAAAATGGCAATTCAAAAGGATTATTATAAAGTAATATGCTCAAATTGTACATGTACAAAAATTTATTATATATAAACTATTTTTCTTAAAATATGAGAAAAATCATTTTTTAAATTTTGGAAATTAAAAGTTAACAGTGAAGTAAAGTTTTTTAGAAAAGAAAAAGTTTGACATAATTATCATCCAATATTCATTAAATAATTTTAATTTTTTAACCTTTGTTGTAAACGTTTGAGTGTTTCGACAGAATCTTGTATTTGTTTCATCTGTGATTCAAGGTCCATCAATTCTGCCCTTATTGTATCATATCCAGCTCTAATATCCAAACTAGCTAATCTATCGACGACTAATTCATTTTTCAAAGCCAACTGTGTCATTGCTTCCTGAGTAAATAAAGTATTCAATTAGAAAGTATATATGAAATATTAATTAAAACGATACTTGCCGTGACTACTGGATCAATGGTTAAGCCTTCGGTATCAGCTGGAGCTTGAGGTGGACAGTAATTACAAATCCGTTGTGATGGACTTGATGTGGTAGGTAAGGGAGTCAAAGATCTAGTGAACGCTACTATATCTGCACTAGGCGTCAATTGTCGACATTGTGATCCCAATGCGTTATACCTCTTAGACTGATCGCTAGACTACAATTAAAAGATGATTAAGAAAAGTAAAAAAAGAGTTAAATGAAACATACGAAATAAAGAATAATTACGACTATACAAAGCTTACTTTGTTGTATATAGTTTCGGATCCTTGTAATACAGCGTCTGATAAAGTCAAACAAAGATCCGAATAAACTTCTTCAAGTTCCTTTGATAAGTAAAAAAAAGTTAACACGAATTAATCTTTTTTGAATGATATCTAACACTGTGCAAAACTTTTATGCGCCGAATAATATGATTGTTGTTTCTGAATAGAATTTCGATTAAAATTACGAATGTGTTTTTATAAAACTCATTTTGATCTTATTTTTTTAAATAATCAATAATTAGTGAACATCAGGTAATTATGTAATTAATAAATCATTACAAAATTTTTTTTTTTCAAAATATATAATGGGCTATATTTAAGAGGTATTTGTAAATTTGAGATTTATAACTCAAGTTTAAGCTACTAAACAAGTTGATTTTGACAATTATTTTACAATTATCAAAGCTGAATTTTTTCTAATAATTATTTTGCTTTAATTTATAATTATAATTATTTTAACTGGCCTACAGTTTATGACAGTTTCTATTTAATTTAGATTTTTTAACCCATTGCAAATAATAATTATTTTTGCTAAAAATATAAAAAATGTGGAAAACTCAAAATTTTGTATAGTATTAAAATTTGTGTCAAAAGAAATATCCGAAACCGAAAATTTTAAGCCCAGATTCGAAATTAGCGATGGAATTTCATGCAGAATCTACTATAACAATGTTTGATGAAAAAAATTTTGATTTTTTTTGTTGTGCAGTGTAATGTATTAACTTACTTGTAAAAGTTGAGGCAACACGAATTGATTGTATTGATCGACCATACCGTTAGTTGCATGCAATTGTGTCACGTAAGCGTTGTGTGCATCTAGATATGAGGATAAAGAAGCTGAACTGTTAGGAGAAGACAACTGAGCAAGAAATGCACGTTTATAATCATCCCTACACTGTAACAACACAGCATTAAATTAATGTAGAATAAAAATCTTTTACATTTTTAGAAAATACATGAATGTAGAAGGGCTAGGTAGGCTAATTTATTCCAAAAACGTTTTACATTAGGACCAATGGAAATATCATCATAAAGAACTTTACATTTATCAAAAATTGTCTCATTAAATTAATAAAATCTAAATCAGAAATTACTGAATATATACATATTCAATAATTTCTTATTATATATTTATATATATTAATATATATCTTACATTTAAACTCTATCAAAGAAATAATGTCTTTTAATTTTGTTTGATAATTATTAGCGAACAAATCGTATGAGTAAACATAAATAACACTAATTTGTATTTTAGTCACTTACTTTGGCTAATTTGTCTTCAGCTTTCTGTAGAATTGTTTCTAACGAATCCCTTTGACTAAACACTTTACGTGATTGCACTTTACGGTGAAAAGACCTGTCCAAAATTGGTCTAGATATCTGTCTAGTAAGCACATTGGCTACGTCACTGATAGACTTAGAATCTGTTTCTACTTCTTGAAGGAACGTCTCCCACGTGTAAAATAATTGGCTAGGAAATGGAGGCCTGTAATAAACAAATAACCACCACAGATAATGTTCAACTTATAAAATAAATCTTTTAAAAAAAAAATTGTGTTTGGCTTTTATACTTGACTAGAATATTTAGGTGCATTACAATGCACCTAAACATTGTATTCTTCTTTTTTGTATAAAAGATGTATTTCATCACTTATAAATTTCATTTCATTTTATAGCACTAACTGTAAAATATATTGACTGATATTATTGGTACACGTGTTTTGTTGCTGCTTTAACGCAGAATGTATTAGCACACATCGGAAATTGGAACGGATCGTATTTCCCTTGAGTCTACCATGCTTTGTAGAAATAATGTATTAAATAACGTTTCAAAAATAGTTAAGGGAAAAGTGTTTTAAATTCTACCCCTCCCCATCATCATGTTCAGGGCAAAGGATTTTCTTTTACTTACCTATCTTTCCTGAGATCGTTGTTTTTCTTCCGAAAATTAGTGACCAATAGTTGTAGCTCAGCGGCATGTTGTTCGTACATTTGGGACAACTCTTGCGTGAAATCGGACACTGTAAAAAAAGGCAAAAATTATTAATAAATGACTTAATGAAATTCAACACGTACATTAAAAAAATGAGTTTTTCTAACAATTTATTATATCATTTACATGTAACTCGAGGAAAACATTTGAAACTGCTTTTCATTTGAAAGCTAAACACAAAAAAGTTTTAGTAAGATTTCATTTATTTTTTATTAAAAATAATTTAAACGGCAGCACAAAAACAATAACGTCCATAATACTAAGGAAAACATTAAATGAGGCAACACATGGTGTACTTACGAGTTAAGTAAAACTTAATAGAGAGTATTTTTAGATTCAATTACAGACATTCGATTTGATATCTAAACCGATTTTATATTCGATTGGATTGAGTTTACAATCCATGTAATCTGTATCCAATGAAAATATCTATTATTAGCAGAAATATAAATTGTTTTATTATAATAGCAACAAATTTCTGACGTACAAATTAAAATAAAATTTTGTTTCTATGGTGTTTAAATTTTTGATTTAATCATTAAAAAGCAGACGATCAAAATTCATTTAGTCGATATAATGACATTATGGAGTGATACTTATTTTTTGCCGGAAGAAATTCAATGCCATAATAAAGCTCAAGACTGTTGGGTAGTAATTTATCGCATAGTTAAAAATATCACTGCACTAGTAAATGAATTTCAAGGATCGGGATTAGAGCGTCCTTTAATTGCTGAGGCCGGGAAAGATATATCCTTCTGGTTTGATCTCGATGGATGTAAACCTGTTGTATGTATTTATGTGATTTAACTCCTATTGAATATAATTATAAGTAAACATCTCTATCGTAAATTTCAACATTTTTGTTTGCAGCTTAAGACTTATTTAGACCAAAATACTGGCCTTAGAGTACCATTGATCCAACAACGCATCCCACACGCCCCAGATCCCGAACCAGATATCCGCTGGATTCCGGATACAGACAACCCGTGGTGGCAAGACGAAAAGTATAATGTTGGTATAGAAACAAACAAACCCGTTTTTATTCGTTTAGTAAACACACTCATAGATCATAATGTGATAATCAAGGTAGTAAGTCCGTCGAGTAATTAACATACAATAAATAAAAAAGCACAATGCCTCATATTTGCTTAGGTGTGTATAGAAGATAAATTAGAACGCATTTTACAAAGGTACTCATTAAAGTATAATCCAGAAATAAGCAGTTACACTGTTAAATATATTGGGCGGCGGTTAGTGAAAACTTCTAACTTGTTACAAAATAAAGTATTATTGCCCTACAACGAGGAAATTTCTGACTTAGTACATGAAGAGTATATTCCCACAATCAAGTTATTCTATAAAGAAAGATTGGCACCTAGTAGACTATTGAGACCATAGATTATAATTGTCATTGGTTTATAAAATGTATTTTTTTTTCAATTAAAAAAAAACAAACGTTCATGACAATTGAAAATAGTGTAAAGGCATTTCGACAAAGAACTTATATAGAATAAACACAACCTTTTGAAAAGTACTTCATGTTTTTAATTGCAAAATACTTCCTTACACTAAATATAGTAGACATTTCCTATCGGTATAAGTCTTTTATTCCGATAATACAAAGATTTTTCAACACAGAGATTTTATGAAGAGACATTTTATAAATATATCATGTCTTGTTAAAATAGTATAAAAAATATGAACTATATTTTATGATAAAGCGAGTTAAATAATATAATCGTGTTAACATTTTATATATAATTACAATTAATTTTTTCAAAATTATTTTCGTGTTTATAATATTGAAATTCAAAAATAGAAATATTTTGATAATACTTTAATATTTACATATTATATTAAGTATACTATATTCTTTTATTATACATACATGTCATATCCAGTTCGTCGAAAATAGTATAAATATTATATTTGTTGATAAAAAACTGTTAAAAATTTATATCTTTACAAGTATTTTTAACGTAGCCACACTTAAACGTCACGAATAACAGAGTAAAAAGCAAGACATTTATCAACTGAATATTTTACTCAACATAACGTGTTGATCGCATGTCATTTTATGCTTGAAATACAAAAGCTCAGGAATAAAAGTAATGTACGAAATATATATTTATTATTTAAATGTGAAAACGAATATGAAAAAAGTATAAATAAATTATTGAAAATACAAAACACTTGGCGTTATATAGACAATAAATATAATTCACTCAAATATTAATGATGGGCAATCAATACTAGTGTTTTACAACGATTTTTTAACTATTTCAATTTCCGAGATACTCGTGGAAATATTATCGGTTATCGAAATTGATACTATTATGTTATATACAAATGGTTACGACACAGAAGTACACTGAATAGTAGACCACAAACTATAGTTAATAATAATAATAGTAGAAAATAAATTATTTCCCGTGTTCGCCAGTGAAGACAAATTAACACCATTTTTAGGCGAACATTATTATTTCTATTATAATATTATTAAATAAATTATTTAGTTGTCAGAACAAAAAGTTGTTGATAAAATAATTTTTGTACCTGAAGTACAGGAAAAAAAATTATTACCCTCAAAAAACATTTCGAATTTTTTAGCTCTATCCATTATCACATCTTAATTGATTGATTATTTATTTCTGTGGGTTACGATATAGTATGTCAATATATTCAATTTTTCATTATATTATTTTATTTAACTAGAGATGTACGTGCCAGATAGCGGTATCTTATGCTACGATTGATTTCAATTAATTAGAGCACAAAATGTCAATTATATTTGTGTAGTGATGCCATGAGGTTTTTTTAAATGTATTAAATTACGGGGTTTCGACAGAAAATCGTTACGAATCCACACTACATTAACAGTAGCTTAGCAAATAAATAAAACGTTGTTTGAATATTGTTTGTTTTATGATGTGTTTAGTGTTAGCCATTTCATTGAGAACTTAATGTGCCACGCTATCTTTCTAGAATCTTGTTTCTAATAGAACTATATTGTAGTTGAAATCTTAATGTTAACAGAAAAATTATAAGTTAAAGAAATTAATATAATCAGAAAGGCTTTGTATACGCCTACAAAATGAAATGACAGACGACAAACAATCAAAATTTTCTGAAACGATTATGACTAACATAATCCTGAAATATTAACTATTTAATGATAAATTTTTTTGAAGACTTTAACAAATACATTTATTTGGAATTAAAATTATATTAACAATTTAATTTAAAAATAAAAAATAATTAACTTAAAAAGCTACAACAAACTCTAAATAAATCTAGGATATGTATTTCTAGAACAATGTTACCTTTATCAAATCTAAACACATACTGACACCTCAACCAACAAAAAATTTCTTATATACCCGTAATTCTGCTAAATATGGTGATAGCGGATTTCCCATTGCTGTGCCCTCAGTTTGCTCATAAAATTTATTTTGAAACTATCTATCTATTGAAACTTTCTTATTGTATTTTACAAATTACCAATTTTTCTTTTTTCCTACAGTATCTTTAGGGTTACCTAAAAAATCTCTTAAATTTTTTCTTTTAGATGTTACATAAGAAATGTCAAAATTCTTAAAAATTATAGCTAGTCCATTTGAAATCGCCGGATAATATAAAATGGTTGACCTAATTTGGTTCTGTTTTCCCACGCTAGTAAGTATAGTAGCTGCCCTCATTTCTTTATTCCACTTTTGTGTAAAAATTAATTTAAAATTATGTTTTCGTTATGCTCATTAAATCTAGTTATTTTTTTTATAACTCCCATCTCTTTATCAAAGTTTATTTTGTTCATCGGATTATTAACTAATGTGTAAACCATAATATTAAAAGCTGCCATTTTGTGTTATTAACTGTGGTTTGAATTTTTTGAAATGTACCTGAACATGTGCGAGTTTTTCCAATAAATGTTTAAATTTAGCCCTCATTCTACTCTTTTATTAACAAATCCATAAATGAAATTTTCCTTCTAATTAGTACGTGAATTTAATTAATGGGTAAAAATAATTTAAATATTGTATGAAGTCCTCCGTGTTAAAAACTTTATTTAATTCTGGAAAAATATCATCTACATACCTAACCCAAATTTTCGGAAAATCACCATAAATGTTTTTTAAATTTGTTTCGTACCTACTAATGAAAAGTTCTGCTAAAAATTATGTAGCGAATTTTTTTTCTATGCCCTCAATTTGCTCATAAAATTTATTTCGAAACTAAAAAACCTTTTGACCCATATATAACTTTGTTAAATTAATAAGCTCATTTATTTTATTCTGTTCTATGTTTTGACACGGCACCGCCTCACGCTCTAGGTTGATGCTCACCCGTGTCTCTCTCGATATCAGCCGTCCAGCTATTAATATGACAATTGGTTGTCATCGGATGGCTCCCCGCCCTCGACACCGTGACAAGGCCGCCGCCGAATATGGATAATGCGTTTTGTTCAGTTTCCGACGTTAACCTTGGCTGGTTGTTGCGTTTTTTGTTTCTTTTGTTTTTGATGCGTTACTTTGCATTTTTTTTTTGTGAAGTGAACTTTCCAGCAGTATATCTATATATATATATATGGATATTTACTTATTATAATATAGGTATATATACATATTTACTGACGTTAGAATATATAGATAGATATTTTATACGTTTAAATAAAACTTGTGCAGCTCAACTGGATACGCGTTAGTTTTGTTCCTTCAGCTCGATTTTTTTAACAAATGGTAACATTCTCACTAAGTTTTTAGCCAAGTTGTAAATCGTAACATAAATATTCGACATAATAGAATTTGGGAAAGCTTATAGTTTAGGTTATATAAATATATCCGTTTTATTATATCGATTATTTTAAATAGCGATTAGACGAAAATTATACTTTCAACTTATTTGAATGATTCATTGTAAAATTGTAAATCAGTATTATTAACCTCCATTATTCTATCATTAACAAGAAGATAAACTCAATAATTTTATTGATAAACTTTATTTTAATCTTTAAAATACTTTAACCTGGTA